CCCAACCTCTTGTGCCAAAGCATAGAGGATTTTTCAGAAGTGAGCAACCTTTTAGAACCAATACTTTTAACATTAAAACATTCATGCACATATGAACATTCCATTTGCCACATATCAGTTTGTAAATGAGCGATACCAAGCAAGGAATTCATATTATTTGATTCGAAAAACCTTACACTTTTGTCATCCCCAACAAAAGAAATGCCTAGCTGAACTAACTTGGATGCAGAAATTAAACTCCTTCTCATTGAAGGTACATAAAGTACTGGATTCAACTTTAAAATAAAACAAGATGACATAACTAATTTGACACTCCAATAGACTTAACAACAAGCTTACTCCCATTCCTAAGATAGACATTGTAGACTTCATTGTTTACTTCCTTTGTTTTTGAGAAGTCCTGCAAAGAATTAGTTATGTGAATGGAACATCCAGTATCAAACCACCAACTTTTAGAGGAATATAAATCAAATTAGACTCTACACAAACAAAAACATTTGTTATTTTACGTTTCTTTGTAAGCCAATTTTTGAAACCAATGCAGTTCTTTCTCAAATGACCTGACTCTTTGCAGAAATAGCATTCCTTTGCCTTTTCTATCTCAGTGTTCGCTGGTTTAAGTTTGAAAGATTCTTTAGAGGTGTTAGCATTTTTAAAAGAAGAAGAAATTACATTCTTCTTCTTCTTACCAGCAAAAAACGATGAACCAGCATTGAAGGATTTGGACCATTTCTCCATTTGCACCAAATTCACTTCATTAATTTTGTCAGCCTTAACCCGATCTTCCTCTTCTACACACATTAAGATCAATTCATTTACCCCCCTCCCTACTTGTCTTTGTGAGTGTTGTACGAGACCTTAAGCTGACCATATTTAGTATATAGTGAGTTTAAGGCCATATGAACCAAGAATTGATCAGTCATAGGTACTTTTAAGTCTTTCAGTTTCAGAGAAATATCCACCATTCTGAGAATGTGCTCCCTCACACTCCATGTGCCATCAAACTTCATGGAAGTAAGTTGTGTGAGGAATGTACATGTCTCAGCCTTTTCTGATTCCATGAACTTTTCTCTGACAGCAGCTAAGAATGCCTTCGCATTGTCAAGATTTCGAATCCCTCATTTGACAGGTTGCGCCATGGCTTTCTTCATGATCATCAGAGACATTCTATTTGCCGTTTCCCGCTTCTTAAACTTCAATTTCTCATCAGCTGTACTTTCATCTATCAAGGCTGCAGGTTGATCTTCTCACAATGCCAAATCAAGATCCATCAGGCCCAAAACAATCTCTACATCCTCTTTCCACTTCTTAAAGTTGGAACCACTGAGAGTTTCAATATTGTTGAAGTTAAGAGAGGTCATATATGGAGCTGTGAACAAAAAAAAAATTCTTTGTGTCAGTAGTTTCAATCAAAATCTTTACATATAGTGAGAGAACTTTCACATAATGTTCTCTCATTCCATCAATAGTCATATGAACACAGCAACATCTTTAGACAAATGTTGTTCATATTAATTTTGCACAGCTGGAAAATAAGATACAAGGTCAATTTACATATTTTAACACTTTTGGGCAAATGAATAATGTAATCTTGTCAATCTCATGCTCTACTATACACTGAATCATTTAAATAAATTGAATAATTAACAATTTTGAGCAAATTATCATTCGATCATTTTTAAATGAATCATCATCTCTATATGTTTGAATCACAAATCAAAACAATAAACTAAACACTTTTGAGAAGATTAGGTTTTGTTCTCTTGTTTTAGTCGTTCATGCACTGTCATAGTGATAACATGAACTCTACAGTCTTGCTAATGTCCATTGTTGTCTTCGAGTATTCATCTCTACAAAGGCGGATCCACAGAAGGACCTGGGAGGTCCTAGGACCCCTCGGCAATCTTAAAATGCTGCTAGAAATTTTTCAGGGGACCCCTCGACGAGAACACGAGGTCTGTGCTGTAGTTTGCAGCTTGCAACGTAGAAGAAGACAGCAGGGCTGTGGGGAGAAGAAAGAAAACATGGTTTTTAAAAAGTTGGTCCAAAACGTAATGTTTTGGCCAATTTGTTTGTTTGTTTGTTTGTTTGTTTTTATTATTTTTTTATTTTTTTGTTTTTTGTTTTTTGTTTTTGTTAAAAACTAATGAGATAAACGGTGTCGTTTGTCAACTGTCCCTGACCCTGATTCCATATGCCCAGCCCTACATAGGCAATCTTTCCCAAAAGTCCTTTTCCTTTCCCCCGTTCCGTTCCTCTACTTTTCCCTTAATCCCCATCTTTTTATATTCACCCAAAACCCTAAATTTGTAATCCCACCCAATCCCATATTATAATTACATTACTCCAATATCATACTTCCACTTGCTTCAATTCTCCAAGCCACCACTATTTGGTTCAAAATTCAAGTAAGTTTTTTGGTATTCTAATCTAATCTCAATTAAATTATATTAGATATTGGTGGAGACTTTTAGTCTATTATTGATATGATTATTGTGACAGCCCGTCCTGATTTTTTTGTACCGTAAGTGTGAAAAGGCGATTTTGCCCCTGGACGTATTTTGTGTTGTAGGATGTTTGGTTTGTTTTGTTTTTGGTTGTGAACTCATCTGGACCACACACCATACACACCCACACTCTTGGACCTTTCCTCTATCCCTTCTCTCTCGGATTTTCTTCCAGTTTCTTCCATTTCCTTTGCAAAGGTACGGACGAACTTCAAACTACCTTCTACTTTCATGGATCGACGTCGAGGAGTTTACCTTTGTGTTCCGTATGAGCTCAGGGGCTCATTCATACCCTTAAATCAACGTGAAACCTTCGAAAACCCGAGAACCTGGGAACCCCGAATTGGAGCATTGTTCATGCACACATGATCGTGAGGTTTTTAGAAGTTTTTAAGGTTCTAGGGAGCTTTAGAACCTTCTCACGAAGCTCAAGGAACAATTTTGAAGTGTTTTGGCCGTCGGGAAGCCTGGTTTCAGGGAGTTACAGGGTTGGCCAGAATATTGTGAGTTTTTCCGACTAGATTTCATTGGTTTTGGGTCCCCAAAGTGGTAAGGCTTTGTTCTACTAGTTGAAAGCTTAATTTTGGTACAAATTTCATGGAATTTGGTTGAGAAATGAAGAAGTTATTAAGGTTTGAAGTTTTTCCTAGTTTCCGGTGAAATTCGAGTTGCAGACGGTGGCGCTGACGACGGCGGACGGCGGCGTGATCGTAGCACAGTACGCTCACCTTGGATCCAAGGCAGGTGCCAGCCTGTTGTACAGACCACTTTAGGTGGTTCCGACTCGTAGGTGACTTGCGATACTTCGCACAATCTTCACGTGATCGTAGCACTAGAGTGTATTTATTTACACCCAGCCTGTCGTACAGACCACTATAGGTGGTTCCGACTCATGTGCAGGATAGTGGTTAAGGAGCTATAGTTTCAGCCGTACAGGTCACTTTAGGTGACTTCGGCTGACGTACTCATATTACTGGCATGTTATGATTTGTTTTATCTCACCTACTTGATGCTTATACTATTTATTTGGATATTCTGATGCGGCATATTCTGGCATGGCATATTTGAGCTTTATCGTTTTTGCATGATTTGATATACGAGTACGTATGGTATTTTCTAGAAAGTATACAGGTTTTACAAAGAGGGATTATAATTTTTGTGAATGAAATTATTTTGAAAAGCTTTGTTTTTGCCCACTCACGTTTTCTTTTTTGTGCTCCTCCAGGTTTTAGGTAGCGAGGACGTGGGTGACGAAAGAAGCATCGAGGCATTTCTGATAGGGCACCCTCCATGTAGGACTTTCTAGTTATCACTTGTGTAGTGTTTGTTTATTCTAGACTGCACCTAGGATACTCGAACTTCTACTTTGCATTTTCCTTCTATGTTTGTCACTCACTGATCTTTTTATTGTAAATTATTTTGTCGACTTTATTTTTCTCATATTTTCACTCTTTTGCTTCCGCATTATGCACTTGGCTACGTCACTTCCATGTGATGGCCAACACGCCCCAATTTTTGGATCGGGGTGTGTCAATTATTGATATGTTTTATGTTTGTACACTCATTTTATAATTGAAATTTAGATGGAATTTTTGTTTATTGGTTGATTGGTATTTGTTTTGTGTTTTTGGTTAAATGTGTAGTTTAGAAATAAGAAATATGGAAAGATTTTTCAAGCCAAAGCCAATAGCACCATTGACTTGTTCGGGTAGTTCGAGCTCAAGACAAAATGAGTGTGATATTGATTTTAATAATCTTGAGAGAGACCTGGGAAAAAGAATTCGAATGAAGGACTATCCTTCTAATATTCAAGATGAGGTCCAAAGAGCATATTTGCAAATGGGACCTTGTAGGCCTACAAAGTATGAGTTCCCATACGCTTTGCATGCAAAGAAAAAGCGACGATTTGTTGTTTCGTGGTTTGAAGAATATGATTGGTTGGAGCATAGTATATCCAAAGATGCGGCATTTTGTCTTCATTGCTATCTCTTTAAAATCAACTTTTAACAATTAGGAAGTAATGCCTTCACTGGGGTAGGCTTTAAAAAATGGAAGAATGCAAGAGAATGTTTTGACAAACATGTTGGTCCTATTGGTAGTTTCCATAATAAAGCTAGAGAAGCAGCTAGTTATCTAATGAACCAAAAGACACATATTGAAGTAGTTGTGATCAAACAGTCAGAAGAAGAGTGTATGAAATATCGTCTTTGCTTGAATGCATCAATAGATTGCACTAAGTTCTTGTTGCGACAATGCCTTCCTTTTCGTGGCCACAATGAAAGTGACACTTTGAATAATAGGGGAAATTATTTAGAGCTCTTGCAATTCCTTGCGGATCATGATGAGAAAATAAAGGAAGTTGTGTTGGAAAATGCTCCAGGAAATCTCAAGCTAATAGCTCCTTCAATTCAAAAAGATATTGTCAATTCATGTGCCTTCGAAACTATTAAGGCTATTATGAAAGAAGTGAAAGAGAGTAAATTCTTTTCTATAATGGTAGATGAATCACGTGATATTTCAACAAATGAGCAAATGGCGGTGATTTTGCATTATATGGACAACAAGGGTCAAGTAATTGAAAGGTTCATGGGAGTCCAACATGTTACCGAAACAACTTTAAGTAAACTAAAAGAGTCCATTGATGAGTTCTTGAAACTACATGATTTGAGCTACTCCAACCTACAAGGTCAAGGTTATGATGGTGCGAGTAATATGAGAGGTGAGTTCAATGGCCTTAAATAAAAATTGGATGAAAAAAAGTTGTGCATTCTATGTTCATTGTTTTGCTCATCAACTACAATTAGCTCTTGTTGCCGTAGCAAAGAAAAACTCCGATGTTGCCGCTTTTTTTCACAATGACAAATAGTTTGGTGAATGTTGTTGGATGCTCAAGTAAGCGTCGTGATGCACTTAAAGAGAAACAACAAGAAAATCTGATGAAAGTTATTGAAAATGATTGTCTTGAAACGGGGCAAAGGTTAAATCAAGAACTAGTCTCAAACGTGCTGGGATACACGGTGGAATTCACATTATGATGCTTTGATTTGTTTGATTACAATGTTCTCATCTGTGGTGGATGTGCTTGACATGATTGTTGAAGATTGCTACAATGATAGTGCTGGTGAAGCAAAATGGTTATTAAAAGATTTACAATCTTTTGATTTTGTGTTCCTTCTCTTTTTGATGAAATCCATATTAGGAGTTGGAAACGATTTGTCACAAGCATTGCAAAAAAAAGATCAAGAGATTGTGAATGCAATGGCTTTAGTCAAGACATGTAAAGAACAACTACGTTGCATGAGGAATGATGAAAATTTTGATCTTTTGGTTGATAAAGTATCATCTTTTTGTGTTGAACATGAAATTGAGGTGCCTAATATGGATGATTTATATGTCATTCAAGGGAAGTCATTGCGTAAGGCTCCAAGAAAGACCAATATTCATCATTACAAAGTGGAGCTCTTTTTTGAGGGCATTGATTTCCAACTTACAGAAATAGATGATCCCTTCGCTGAAGGTAATACTGAATTGCTTATTTTCTTGGCATGTTTGAGTCCGAATGATTCATTTGTAGTTTTTGATAAAGAGAAGCTTGTTCGCCTTGCTTAGATGTATCCTAAAGATTTCACAGATCGAGATAGATCGACATTTCAAGATCACCTTGATATTCACATTCATTTTGTGCGTTCTAATAATGATTTTTCTAAATTGCGGGGAATTAATGAGCTTGCTAAGAAAATGGTGGAGAAAGGGTTGCATCAAACATTTGCATATGTATATTTGCTTGTTCAGTTGGCTTTGGTTTTACCAGTTGCAACTGCTTCATTGGAGAAGGCATTTTCCGCTATGAATATCATTAAGGGTCCACTTCGCAACAAAATGGGAGATCAATGGTTAAGTGACAGCTTAGTTGTTTACATTGAGAAATATGTTTTTCCATGTATTGGTAATTAATTTATCATGGAACATTTTCAGACTATGAAACCTCGTCATGGACGTTTGAATTAGGATTTTATAGCTTGTAATATTTTTGCACATGATTTTTGAATGAAATGTATTATATTTAACTTTTCAATGTTATTTTTATTTATAAATTTTTTGACCTTTATTATTGGGACCCCCCCAAGTTTAAAATCCTGGATCCACCACTGCATCTCTGTCATTGTTAGAGAATCTCTTCCAGTGAAAACTTGAGAAAACATATCATTCTATATATAAAACATATACATATACATATACATATATATATATATATGTTGATAAGGAATTAACATCTTAATATTCTATACTGGAAAGGTATGCAGCGGAATGTTCAATATTTAGTAATATATTCAATAGTGTAAGATTTTAGTACTATACCACATGTAAACAGTTGATTAAAGATTAAGAGCCAGAACCATGACAACTATGTACTAGGGTTACGATACAACTATTACCTCTTACAAGTATATTAGAAACTGATCCTGTGGTCACCTACCTATGTTCGATGCCATGTTTGTGTTGCAAGCCAATATTCTACTCCCACTTCCAACAACACCGATATTGTCCCCAACTTGGTAATTACCACTTGCACAATCCATTAGGTGTGGAGGTGTGGGTTTTTATCACAAAATGCCTCGGTATTAGTTAGAGTGGGGTTAGAATATTTAAACTATTACTTTTCTTTTTGTACGACCGATGTGGGATTCAACACGCCCCCTCACGTGGGACCCAATTAGTGGGTCACACGTGGGAGATCCACACATCGACAACCACATGGAGCCAAGGGGACTCACCCTACATGCGGGGCCAAGGGACACACCATTATCGCGCGGGGTCAAGGGGACCCACTCATCACGTGGCAGTACAGTACGGGCTCGCTTGGGGTTAAAATATTTAAACTATTACTTTTCTTTTTGTACGACCGATGTGGGATTCAACACGCCCCCTCACGTGGGACCCAATTAGTGGGTCACACGTGGGAGATCCACACATCGACAACCACATGGAGCCAAGGGGACTCACCCTACATGCGGGGCCAAGGGACACACCATTATCGCGCGGGGTCAAGGGGACCCACTCATCACGTGGCAGTACAGTACGGGCCCGCTTCCTGGCTCTGATACCATGTAGAAATATCAAAGAGATGGGCCATACGGCCCACTTCCAACAACACCGATATTGTCCCCAACTTGGTAATTACCACCTGCACAATCCGTCAGGTGTGGGGTTTTATCACAAAAGGCCTCAGCATTAGTTAGAATGAGGTTAGGATATTTAAACTATTACTTTTCTTTTTGTATGACCGATGTGGGATTCAACATATAAGACTCCATAATCCTTATGACGTAGAGATCAACCATATTACTCGTATATCAGATAACTTGTGAAATAAGTTATATGCTATCCAAGCAATATCAAACACTCATTGTCATTCACTAGGACTTTACAAAATATAGTTGTATGGTTAAGTGCCATGCTTATTACATCAAATATGATGTTCAAGTTTCTTATGCCATCAAACTTGCATATGCTTACCTTGAGCCTCTCATGGGCTTCGTTAACAATCTTTTCATTCTTTTGCCTTATTTTATCTATAGCCATCTTTTCTATAATGTCACTTCACCACCGTTTTATCGAAAAGAAAATGGATCCACCTAAAACAAATGGGTGAGCCATCGTACGAATGGGTGAATTGTGCAGGTAGTTTCCCTCATTTTTGACCCTTAATCTTTCGGTATATTTTTTAAAAAATGGATCCTCTTTTTGTTTTTTTCTTTCCAATTTTTTTAATTTGCATTACATTGTTTGGCCTATTGCTCTTTTATGAGAATCAACTCTTCAATTGTTAATATGTGATATTATTTTCATTTGGTTTTTTTCTTTATGCTTGGCATTCCTTGGTAACATTCTTGAATTTGTTAATTGTTAATTTTTCTTCTTTCTTTTCCTAATTTTAAAGCAAACGTAGAGGTTTGTCATTGTAAAACAAAGCTTCATGTGCAACAATGCAATTACATTTGATTAATAGAACAACTGCATGCAATTAGAAAGTCTGATTGAGATTGCCAATTTGGACGCAGTAATCGGGGACCTGTTTGACTAATCTATACTAAGCTTGGTTTCAAATTTTAGAAATATCTGAATCATGAATTTTATTTTTCAAGAGTCCGTGTTGTTTTCAGGTTTTTGGGATTTCAGTTGTACGTCCATCTGAGCAGGGCAACCCCACAGTGATGACTTTTATTTACTGAAAATTTGATATTACCCCTTGAAACTATATTCTCTTCTACTAAAACTCATCCCCTTTTGTTTACTTGAATAAAGCCCATTGACTAGCCTCCAACTAAACAGATTCTTTAATTAAGTTTGACTTTTCAGATTGTGTATTTTCCGAATGCCTAAACTACCCCTATTAATATTTGGATGGGGTTTTTGGATCAGTTACTTGTTATATCCATTTAATTAATTTTATATATTTTACAAAATAATTCATGCCATTCATTGTATATTCAATGTATAACTTTCAAATTGTTATAACGTGCCAATTGAAAAATAATAATACTAATTTCATAATTTTGTGCATTAAATATATAACTTAATTTACCTACCAACACAACAAGAAACATAAAACAACTTCGGCTAATACTCCAATCCCTAATACACAAAACAAAAACTATATGTTCCACACAATTTTTACCTACAAAATAGTCTAATTTACCTATTCCATCAAACCAAAATTTAAAGGGTCTAATTTACCTACATGATTTATGTGCATTAGATTAAAAGTTTATTTAATTGCCTACAAGCACAAACCCACAACATTCGAACATTATCTAATATCACTATTTTTTTTTTGGAATAGGTAAATTAATTTAAATGTAGGTAAATTAGTATAATATTAATAAGTAGGTAAATTAATTTAAATGTAGGTAAATTAGTATAATATTTTATAAGTAGGTAAATTAATTTAAATGTAGGTAAATTAGTATAATATTTGTATCTAGGTAATTACATGATTCAAACAATATTATTTTTTCGGTACAAGATATGTCTTTTTTTGTTTTTTTTCATTTGGTAAACTAATTTACATACGTTGCTAATATTTATGATACAAGAAAGGCAAAATATCCATATGGATTTAATTGGTCATCATAATTAGGATGAGTAAATTAGGATTTTGTGGCATAAGTTGTAAATGTATTGTAATAGTTGGTCATATATTTGTCTACATGGTAGGTTATTTGAAATTTGGGTTTTATTTGAATGTTTAAATTTAGGTGGATTTTTATTTGGAAAATGGGAGTTTTAAGGGCCTATATCTAAAGAACCCTAATGAGGCCTTTTGTGATAAAACCCCACACCTGACGGATTGTGCAAGTGGTAATTACCAAGTTGGGGACAATATCGGTGTTGTTGGAAGTAGGTCGTATGACCCGTCTCTCTGATATTTGTACTTGGTATCAGAGCCAGGGAGCGGGCCCGTACTGTACTGCCATGTGATGGGTGGGTCCCCTTGACCCCGTGTAATGATGGTGGGTCCCTTGGCCTTGCGTGTAGGGTGAGTCCCCTTGACTCCACGTGGTTGCCGATGTGTGGATCTCCCACGTGTGACCCACTAATTGGGTCCCACGTGAGGGGGCGTGTTGAATCCCACATCGCTCATACAAAAAGAAAAGTAATAGTTTAAATATCTTAACCCCACTCTAACTAATACCAAGGCCTTTTGTGATATAACCCCACACCTGACGGATTGTGCAGGTGGTAATTACCATGTTGGAGACAATATCGGTGTTGTTGGAATTGGGCTGTATGGCCCGTCTCTCTGATATTTCTACAATTACATCCATCAATTGGCCGCTGATGTTTCACCTTTTTTTCTTTTCTCTTTTTTTTTTTTTTTTTTTTGTGAAAATGCTGTACAAGTTGATGTAAATGCAACTGAAACCCTTTGAATAAGTCCAATATGACTTTATTTCTGTGTGCAAATATTTATCCTTAAATGTGTGCCGTTGACTAGGTTTGAACTGTAAATTTACATATTAACAAGAGCCGGTCAAGCGTAACTTTAAGGTTTGATGATTAAAAATTTCAGTTGGGAAGTCGGGGAGTATTTACTTAAGAAGATGAAATCAGAGAGGATTGTCAAAGAAATGTTTCCTTTGCATGGTATGCTTACAAATTTTGACTAAGCTTGTATTTCTGTTGAACACTATATTAATATGATTTTTTCTTGATAGATGAAATAAAAAGGAAGAAACTCCTGCACTCATGGGCACTACACTGGTGGGACTTCACAAACCAGCCGATAGATGAGATTTATTCATTAACAGAACCAAGTCTTTTCTCATATATATGTTCTACTAAACACTAGCTTCCTTCGGTTCTGTTAAGTGATACTTTTCTTCTATTTTTCTTTCTATTTCTATGCACAAATACATATCTATCAACTATCGTACACATATCAAAATAATTGCCGTAAATGTCCCGTATTAAAATAAACTATTATCCATAGTGCAAATATAGGGTTATAGGATTGTCTTCATCGCTACCTCCTTCCGCATCCTATAACATCTCTTCCAATATTTTTTTTTCACGCCAAAATTCCTCTGATCCATAGTTTCTTGCAA